TTTTTTTTTCAAAATAAATATGCATCCAGCCCCCCTCCCTCCCACACCACCAGCACACCCTTCGATTCTCCAAAACCTATCACAATCGGCGAGCGGTGCATATCCTTTTTTTCACTTGCTTTTATTCTGACAAATCTAACTCGAAAAAATATATCTATTAAAGCGAAAAACTATATCTACTGACCAGATAACAAGGTGGAGAAATTTCCCCAGCTTCCCTTCACATCTCTGTGAAAAATGAAACAATTCTTCGCATTTTATAACACTGAGCGTATGCGGAGGTCTTGTTTTCGCCTTAGCGTGCTTCAGTTTTTAGTATTATAGATAAAATAATAATAATAATTGGGAACTGACCCGCCCTACATAATTTCTTCTCAAAAATCACAACAGGCATTTTGATGTCTTTTGTATGTCGTTACAGCAAACTCTACGTATACCAATTACATTATCTTTCCCAGGTTTTTAGGTTCGGTGAAACAGGTCTTACGTTGCGGTTTTTGTTGTTTCTCGCGTCATGGTGGTATGAAATTTCAAAGTAAATCTTATCTGAACACATAAAACGTGTTTTAACCACTTTAGAATCTTGATCACGATAAGCACGTCGATGTGCACTACAGAAATATAACGTCACCTTAGGATATCATTAACTGTGAAAAGGCCTGCAACCCCCCCGCATCCACGACTAATATTCAAAAGTGGCTTTCTCCATGATTTCAATTGTTTTATTCGGTATAAATAATATTTTTTAAAAAATCAGTTCGACAGTGATAAAATACGTTCTTGCAGATAAGAATATTTATTGCGTAATGGCAATCAAGCTTCTCACAACCTTCCAATCTTTGAATCATTAATCTAATTTCCTTTTTCTTCACTTTAAGTGTGCATATATTATATAGGTTACATATATTATAAAATGTGAAGCAGCACGTGAATCAACATGTGAAATAGCATAATGAATATCACTGTACTGAGGAACGATATGTGAAACAGGTTCTTGATTAAACCATGACCTGCATGTGTTTAATCTGTAATAATTACGACAACAACTTTATCACAATATGTATTCTTTGATGCAACTCATGAGTCTAATGACCTCGTAGACTATCTCCCTCACATTCCAGTCTAATCCAGACCGTCTGTGGGTTCATATATACTTGTATTTGGTATCACGCGTATTCTTTGTATTTTTCATCGTATTTCAAAATAACAATCTTAACAAAAAATCCCACTGTTGACAAACAAAAATTTTGTCATTGTTTCTATTTTACCCTGTTTCAGTATAAAACTGTTCTTAATTGGCTGCCTTTTTGGTTATTAGCTCCATTCCTTATCAGTTATTTGTCCAAAACCGCTCTCCGAAATAAATCACATACTGCCTGTTACAATTCTGCCTCTATTCGTCTTCAATCCAAAATCTTTGGCATTTCTTTTAAACCTTCTCTAATTTCGTCAATCTAAGTCAAAATCGAACTTGACACCACCGTCTTCACTTGTTTACTGAAACGTTTGCGCACGTGTGATAAGTTTGGAAGGCTATCGATAGATGGCAGCACAGAGCTCTCCTGATTCGCTGTAGTGCCTAAGTGAGGACGTCCTAAAACTCTTCTTGCTCAGTTCTACCGGGGATATATATATAATTCTGGCATCATTTGTCAGATGTCCATTTTGTGTTTTCTGCTGTCAGCTGTGGTTGAGGTTCTCTCTTTCTGGTGTGGACGATTCTGAGGACAGCTCTGTATTTATTGTAAGCTTTCTGGAATGAATTGAGGAAGGTGTACTTTAGTATCAAAGAAAAAATGACCAACTCATTGTTTTGTTTAAGTAAGAAATTAATAAATTGCTATTTGCTCGGATGCATTCAAATGACAGACTTTTTATGTTTATTTCACTTTAGAATTATGTCAAGTGCACGAGAAAAAAGCAACACGTAAAAATAACAAGATCAATTCACAAAGTTATAAAGTAGTCAAACTTGCTTCATGTCAAGTTATTCCTTTCTGTCTTCATCCATATTAATTATTTCTAAGATGACAGGCAAGAATTTTCATGGGCAACATAATGTCAAATATCTTTTTCATAAAACGGTGAAATTGAGTGAAAAGCAATCAAGAAAAACAGCAGGTTTTGCAGAGATGTAGCTTTACATGACTACTCTCTCTCTCCCTCTCTCTCCCCTCTCTCTCTCTCACTCACACTCTCTCTCTCTCTCTCTCTCACACACACACACACACACACACCTAGTGATCAGCAGTCTAAACAAGACAAGGACAGGTTGTCACTGGTCATGACTTTGCAGGAAATTATAGCTATATGTGTGGATATTAAACTGTCCAGACCAGTTTTCGAAATGTACAAAAAGTGTGAAAGTAATATTTCACATATAAGTATCAAATTATAGTCTTGATTGGCTAGCAGCACCAAAATATATAGTGAGAACTGCTCTAATTGTGGTTCAAGCAGGGTAGGGGAGTGGGTGCGGCTGTATGTGAGAAAATAATCTTGCATATAAATCAATGTGATTTAAGTGAGGGTGTAGGAAACTGATACACTGCCATTTCTGAATAGATATTAAATAGAGATAGCAATTGTTTGGGGACAGGTGCCACAGGATTGGGAAGATTTTTTTTTTCTGATTTCTAAACCTAAACACAATGGCTGCTATAAGCAAGCAACTTAGGTTTCATTAAAATTGTTTCATATTAATGGTGAATTATAGATGAAAAGATTGAACTTACCAACACAGGGCATTCATGCAATTTCACTTACAGAGTCTACTTTACCATGCCTACAGAATAACAGTACACAACAACAAGTAAAATAGGAGGTAGACAACTACAAGGAGATGAAGAATTGTGCTGCATTCACTATGCCTTTTACCCTTCCTTTAGGTCACACCAAACACAATGTCACATCTAACACAATGTCACATCTAACACACTGATGTCACAAATAACATAATTATGTCACACCTAACACACTGCAGTCACACTTAACACAATGTTGTTACAACTAACTCACTGGTGTCACACTTAAAACAGTGTCACAACTAAAACAATGCTGACACATCAAACGAACTGATGCGACACTTAACACAACGTTGCTAGAACTAACTCACTGATGCAATCTTTAATACAATGCTGTCACACCCAACACAATGTTGTCACATCTAACACACTGATTCGAGATAGTACACAGCACTCAAGGCAGGGTATATGTCTGTGTGTATCCTTACCTAGCTTCTATCCTGGCACATCTGGGGCACTTGCCTGGGATATAGCACCCTTTGTGGAAACAAGCACTGCAGGCTGTGTGAAAAATATTATACAACTAGAGGATCAGAGAGGCGATACCGCCTCCGAATATTGTACCACCAGCTGGAGCTAGCGCATTCGTATAGACCCCCACATACACAAAATAAGGGACACAGCCCCCAGTCTTGTGCTTGACAAGCTGTAAACATGCAATCAACAAGAATTTTCAATATATGCAAAAAATATATGAAACTAAAAATNTTTTTCACCAATACTTTTGTAAGATTGTAGAAAAAATAGCTTTCGAAATGTGTCATGATAACAATAAACAAATAAATAAATAAATAAATAAATAAATAAATAAATAAAAATAATGCTTATTTTTATCATTTTGGAAGAATCATAAAATTGTTCCCAGTATTTGTGAAATTTAAACTAATATACTGTTTTAGAAAAAATATATAATTTATATATAATATAGTCCTTGAAGAAAATATTCCATGTTGGCTCTCACTTGCTAAAATTAGTGATGTTATGAATTATTCTTAGGACATTCTTTATATTTTAAAAATATTTCAGTCAGTCAATCAGTAATTAAAAAAAAAAAGAAAAGAAAAAAATTAACTACTTCTTGTTAATTTGCCAGGTGTCCAGTGGTTCTCTGGACATGGCCAAAGGCAACCTTGAACGCATGCTGACCATGTGTTCTAAACCTCTTGACCCAGCCAACACCGACGAAGAACTGACACGCGTGCAGAAGAAGTCCATCCATGACGTGACACACGAGTTGGTGCGACAGGTGACGTCCCCAAATACTCTGGTCAGGGAACAGGTAAGGTTGGGACAAAGGGAAGAAAGTAAATAAATAAATAAATAAATAAATAAAAAAGATGAATGAATTAAAGTAAATAAGTGAGTAAGAGTAAATATTATCAGTTAAAAGTGAATGGATAAATATATGAATAAATAGATATTAATACTTAGAAAATTTCGTCAAACTTGAAAATGTGCCTCTCGATAATTTTGAAAAGTTTGTCACTGAATATAGCCAAGTCAGATTTAGGCATTTTCAAATTTTAATTAATTTTTAAGGGATGAAATTTCTAAGTTTTTTATGAATAACACGGAAGCTTTGATATGCCACCTTTCCTCTTCCAGTCTATGCATGCCCTGGAGGTGCTGGCCAAGACCATGGAGAAGACAGTCACAGAGATCATGGAGCCACACAAAGATGTCCTCCAGGATATGATCCCACCTAAGAAACACCTGCTCAGACACCAGCCTGCCAACGCCCAGATAGGACTGATGGTGTGTGTGTGTGTGTGTGTGTGTGTGTGTGAGTGTGTGTGCACGTGCATGTTCATGTACATGTGTGGGAATATGTATGTATGTGTGTGTGTGTGTGTGTGTGCTTGTACATGTGTGGGTTTGTGCATGCATGTATGTGTGTGTGTATGCTCAGGTGGTCTTACTTGTGTTCGAATGTTTTAATAAGCAAAACATCTCATGAATATTTTTTTCATCTCTTGCTGCCTAAGCTATTGTCTATATACCAATGTGTTTGCGTCTAGTTATTCATTTTTTTTTTTTTTTGAAAAGATGCACTTTCAGTGTATAAATTATTATCACCGACTGGCAAGGAGATGAAAAACAATAATTTGTTCACTTTTTCTAAAAGAATATGCTATTTTCCAGGATGGTAATACATTTTGTACCACACTGGAGCCGAGGTTGTTCACCATAGACCTTAACATAGTGGAACACAAAGTTTTCTTCACAGAGGTCAGTGGGTTCTTTCAACTTTTATTTGAGATTATTTTCCTTTTTTCAATGTGATGTGCAACTTGATAAATTGGATTGTAAATGATGCAATATATATTTCAAGAGCTGCACTGTCTTGATGTGGGACAATACATGTATATCACTCTGAAACATGTTCATGTGCCCCTCTGTTTGAAATGAAAAAATTATCAATGTAATGATCACAATAATTTTCACATTATTAACAGCATATATAACGGTAACAGCATTTTTAACAGTATTTATATATTTACTCTTTTAAATTTCCTCTATCAGTTGCTGAGTCTGTGTGAGGCTGAGGATGCTGTGCTCCTCAAACTACCATGTTACAAGTCTGTCACCAACCTGGTGCCTCTGAGGAAGAGTGCACTCAGTGAGTAAACCCCCCCTCTCTCTCTCTCTCTCTCTCTCGTTCTCCTATCATTTACCACTTTGGTGACATCAGTATAGAAATCAGCTCTTGCTGGTGTCCTTATTGAGAGCTTGCATATGGGATAACCAAACAGGCATTAAGTTTGAACCATTAAATTTCAAATACAGAATCAAAAGCCACGTGTTCTGTTGTTTCACCTACTGTATATTTTGTTTTTTATCTGTATGTTTTCTGTCCTCCCTAGGAGCTCTGGCAGCCTGCCACTATATACCTCAGTGTAGAGAAAAGATCTTTAATGTCCTCTACAAGGCCCTGAACTCCAGCAACAGTGAGCTACAGGAGGCGGCACATGACTGCATGAAAAAGGTCTGTTAATAATTATAATTTTAATTAAAATTTTTGTATGATGTATTTATACCATTAAAAGTCAGTTGTTAATTATTATTTATTCTTCTATTAAATTCTCAATGGGCTTTACAGTTTAAGAGATAAAAATTACAATTTGCTAGTTAAAAGTATACAATTATGAATCTAAGAGTAACTTTATGTGATGATAATTAAGAATGATTTATTGGATGGAAAATTTAAAGAGTTAAACTTATAGGGACTACATGAATAGTGTGACATAAGTTTTTCATTGCCTTTTGTGTAAAGATGTTTAAAAAGTAAACTGTTTATGATGATTAGATACAAAACATGTTTTACCTGCCATGAAGTCATGTCTCACCTGAAAAAAAAGTGTTCAGTCTCTTCAAAATGATTTGCTGTTTTGACCAATTTGTAGATTGTTTCTTGTTTAAGTTGATTCAGGTGTGGACACGCTCTAACTTTTTTCTTTTTCAATGTTTTTCTTTTTTTGTGTGCAAGAGAGTTCTGAAAGTTATTAGATTTTGCACAAATTATCGTTGAGTTTTCTCCTTAATTTGCTTTTTCGTTCTGTCACTTATTTTTAAGTTTCATAGTTTGTTCTCAAATTATTGTACATTGTATTATTATTGAAAGAATTATATTAAAAACCTTTTTTCTTTAAATTTCAGTTCATATCAGGATTCCAAATTGACATTGAACAAGTGCACACTGCCATGAGGCCACTTCTGCTCATGCTTGGTGACTATCGCAGCCTAACACTCAATGTGATACAGAGGCTCTCTAGTTTAACTCAGCTCTTCCCCAACACTTTCAACGAGAAGCTGTGTGAGCAATTGTTGGTAAGTTTAACTGAAGGTGCACTTTGATATGTTTTGATTAATTGATTAAATCTTGTGTTTTATTCTTATCTTTCAAAGTCAATTTATCAACTCCTTGAGATATTGATGAAAGGAATTTGGTTAAATCATTTGGATTTGATATAAATTAAATTAGATAGAAAATTAATTGAATTCATAAATTAAAAAGAATTTAACACTTTTAAGATATAATAGGTGGCTGCACAGCCAAGACAGGACTAAGTGTTGATCTCATGCCACAGTTTAGTCTATCTATTAACTGTAGTGCAAACATATAACTAAAATGTTCCTTTATATTTCTATTATTTCTGTTATTGCTATTTTGATTTTTAACCTCTGAATAAGATTAAAACTTAATCCTGCTGAATAATTTTCAAATTCAAATCACCCTTGTGTCAGGCCCACCTGAGGAAGTGGATGGATGTCGCCATTATCGCCCAGAAGGGTGGTCAAGCCCCTCGGACCAATGGTCAAGTTCTTTCCAACGAGTTGAAGATCTGTGGAGCCATCATTAATATCTTCCACCTCATTCCTGCTGCCTCGAATAAGATGATTGAGCCTCTGGCCACATTGACACTGAAGGGAGAGAGGGCGCTACTGATTGAGGTAAGGTCAATCAATGGGAAACTGTAAGGCTGTGTTGGAAGAGAAAAACCAGGTCATTAGCTCTGAGTTAACTGATATTAAGTAAAGTGCATATTATTAATGATTTTTTTGAAAATGTCATGTTAAAGAGTATTCTAAAAATGGTAGATCTATCCTCTTTTGTGTCATCCTTTGTCATTTATTATGTATGCTTTTATCAAAGAAAATGTATGACTAATCCCAATTTTTGAACATGAGTCTTTAAGTCCATTTTATTCAAGTTTTGTTAAAAAAATTGAAACTAGGAAAATAAAAGAAAAAAATTTAAGTTACTAGATTATCCCCCAAAAAATAAATTAATTGCAATGTTTTTCTTAAAAATCACTAGGCTGGTTCCCCATTCCGTGAGCCACTGCTGAGGTTTCTGAAGCGCTACCCAGCACAGACAGTGGAGCTTTTCCTCCAGGAGTCTAACATCAAGGAACAACAATGGAGCAGGTTCTTCTGGGTAAGTAAATAGGAAAATTTAAATGAAAATAACTTTTTTCATTGTTATTTGAATGTAAAATTTAAGAGCATTTATTTCAGCATAATAAGCATAAAGATCTGGACCTAGAAGTTGGCAATGCTCAAAATTTTTATGAGATTTTATTAACATGAATACATTTGTTGTTCAGCAGGTATTATACAATCTGCAGGAAATAAGAATTTATCATGATAATGATATTAGTCATTTGTTGTTGGAGAAAGCTAAAGATTCTGTGCCCAATGAAACCTTTTTCTTTAAGACTTGGTAAACATAATTTATGACTGATATCAGAAATTAATACATCGGAATATATTGATGGCTGTAGCAGAATAGTTGACTTATAGTGAAATGGTTCATTTCAGCAACAACAATCAGTTAGATGTAAAAAACATTGGGGTGTTTAGTTTATACTTGTTCAAATTTAAATTGTTTTATTTTTTTACATACTCTAGTGGCTTTTGAAGAACAGTGATGGTAAAGTGTTCCGTGATGCTCTGGAGACTAACCCAATGCGTCTGGTTAACATGGCCATGGGGCAGGTACAGGTCAGTCCCGATTGTAACACTAGTGAAAAACAAAACAAAAAACAAAAATTATAACCCTAGGTTTGTAGCCAGCAGTGTAAAAGGAGGGGCTCATTTTCTGGCACCTTTTCACCTTTAATTGACCCGATTTGAGACTTAAAGAGTGCTATTTCAGTAGAGTATTGTGTCACATGAATTTATTAGCTAGCTTGTCTTGGTTACATGACCGGATCACATAACAGAAAGGAAAGGGACTTCTAGTTGATCCGATGTGTAAATGAGTGTGATGACTGAATAAAATAGTGTTTTAATGAATTTAGACATTTTGTAATACAACTCTCCTTAAAAAATTATAATTCCCCATGTTTTATGCCTCTCAGACTATCCCAGGCCACCCTCCAAGTCCTACAGGGGTCACTAAGGAAGAGCTGCAGTTCCAGGGGATACGTATCATCAGCGTGCTGGTCAGGTTTGATGCGGGATGGCTGCCCAAGTATCCCCAGGTTGTGGTGAATTTACTGAAAGTTTGGACCTCGGAGCCTTTTCAGGATAAACACAAGAAAGTGGTAAGATTCTTCCTCTCTCTCTCTCTCTCTCTCTGTCTCTCTCTCTCTCTCTCTCTCTCTCCAATCATAAATGCCTTATAAACGTAGGTTTAAAAACTAACTGTAAATGATGTTTTCTTATTTGGACCTAAATTTTATAAAGTCATTTTCACTTTTAATTTCAGGACAGCCTGGACTTTGCTCATTGGAAAGAACCAAAGCTACTTGTGAAGTGCTTACTTAATTATTTTAAGTAAGTTTTTTATTGAATCACTCTTAGACTAGTTTTGTTGTTAGTATGTTAGAAAAAAATTGGAAAGAATGATAAAAGATTATAGTAAAAACATTAAAGGAAGCAGGACATATTTGAGAGCTTCAAACATTCACAGTCAGTCTTTATAATGAACTTTCAAACATTTCTTTGAAATTTGGACTATGTTCTGGAAGACCGCAAAAAATTGTCAGTATTGAGCACAATCAACAAGATATACTGACCATGATTTATCTTCGCTGAATTCCTGAAGGTCAATAAAAATATGATCAATGTTCTGGAAGACCCCAAAAAGTGCCTGGATTGAGCATAATCAAGAAGATAAACTGACCATGATTTATTTTAATTCTCAGGAACCGCACCAATGAAGTGGAGCTCCTGTTCCAGATGCTGCGATGCTTTGTCTTCAGATATATCCCACAATTTCAGTTCTTCAAAGACTTTCTGGACGATGTTGTTGCTAAGGTGTGTTTTATTTTAATTTAATTCCTTTCTTTACCCTGTAGATACAGTTTATTAAAATTATATTTAATTTATTACAAAAAGTTTACAGACATTATACAATTACAAAACAGTTAAAGACTTAAGTTAAATTTGTACTAAAAATGCTTGTCAGTAGTTGGCATGATAATAATATTAGTCAGTTTATACAGTGACTATATCGTCTTCATGAGGTCCTATTCTAGTAGGTTTTCAAGTGGAGGTGAGATAAATTTAAAAAAAACTTTTATAAGAATGGACACACTTTAAATTGGGAATTTATTTGTAGACCTACTCAGTGGAATGGAAGAGGAAAGCCTTCTTCAAATTTGTTGATATCTTTCACGACAATCAGAAGTGGTCACAGGATCTCATAGGAAAGGTAAACATTTTCTCCACTCTTTAGTTTAAGACACAATTTATAAATTGAATAATTTAATAAGGATGTCTTGCTGTCTTTGTTAATCTGCAAGCCACTCCCTCTGTAAATTTAGTCATTGACTTATTTGTGCTGCCTTTTTAGGTTATGTTTTGGAAGCTGGAGAGAATTTTTGAAGTCTGTTTTCGTTGAGTGGCTTTTAAGTATTTTTTTAACAGGTAGCTTTGAACCTGCTAAAATTTATCCAGGTCACTCACAACTTATGATATAGTCTCAAGTTATCTGTTACAGATTGATTTCAAGATATGCGCCGAGGTTGGGAAAATTTACACCAATATTTCTGTATATCATTTCAGATTCTTCAGTTCATTTTGATCCCAAGTTTCACCACCTCCTTTGATAATGGAGAAGGAGAGAAACTGATAGGGGGACCCCCTGCCCCAGACCAGGACAACCCAGACAACATCATCAGCGTCTTTATCAACAAAGTCATTGACCCAGACAACCCGTTTGGGACATCGGATGCAGTCCGTATTCTGCTGCTGCAGTTTTCCAGCCTCCTTGTGGAAAGAGCTGCGTCCCACATTCATGATGCTGCTAACAAGTGTGTCTCAGTTTTTTTCTTTTTTTTTATGTAACTGCTTGTGTTCATGTTTGTCTTTTGAAGTGTGAATCAAATAAATTGATATTCAAGTTTTTGTTTTTGCAACCTAGAATATATACTGTACCACATTCATTGAACATTTAAAAGAAAGAATTTAGTTTCTAATTTACCACGTAACCAGTATTTGTGATTTTTACTCCTTTCTGAAAAAGATAAAGCAGACTACAACATGTGATGACATTAGCCATTTCTTTATTTTTAATGTATCTTTCAAAAAAAAAAAAAATGGAAACAACAGTAACTGTATTATTTCAAAAATGTTTCCTCCTTGTCTAAAGACATTCCCCACTTCTTTTGAATGTCTAATTTTCAGACAAATTTTGTTGTAAACTAACTTGTACTTCATAAATATTTCATTCATACTTTCTTTCCTCCTCTTGCAGAAAACAAGTTTGTACTTCAGAAATATTTCATTCATATTTTCTCTCCTCCTCTCGCAGAAAACAAGGCAACAAGTTGCGTCGTCTGATGACCTTTGCGTGGCCGTGTCTTCTGGCTAAGAACTGTGTGGACCCCGCCACCAAGTACCATGGACACTTGCTGCTGTCACACATCATAGCAAAGTTTGCCATCCACAAGAGAATTGTGCTACAGGTATGTTGATAAGTTTTTCTTTGAAACTTTTGTCTCATTTTATTTTTTATAAGTTAAAATCTTTCTGTCTGTTACAGTGAAACATTATCAGAATATTTTACATTATGAACATAATCGCAGTTTCTTCCAATTTTTTTTTTCATTTTTATTATACAAAGTTTAAATTGGAGCTATGTTTTTGGTGAATAGACAGTGTTAGAGTATTTTATCTATCAATAAGTATTCCATAGGCAACTGAAAACCCATGCCCTAAAAGCATTTGGAGTTGTGTCCTGAGCTGTCATCTTATACGATACATTATATGTATTACATATATGATCTGTTACTAGGTATTCCACAGCTTACTGAAGGCTCATGCCTTGGAGGCCCGCGGAGTTGTGAGGCAGGCGCTAGAGATTCTCACCCCAGCAATGCCAGGGAGGATGGAAGACGGAAATGTAAGTAACTATTGGAATATGAGTCAGTAAGGTAAATGTGGGCATATATAAGTGTATGTACATTGTAGTTAAATCAAGTGGATTTCTCATACACAGCACTGATGGAGTGTACTGGCAGCTCACTTTCTGTGTTCACACAGCACTTCCTTTTCCTAGCTCTGTGGTATTTTGGTTACAAATACAATAAGAAATATATGTTTTTAGTTGTTAGTTAATTAATTTAACTTCCTCTATTCCAGGGAATGTTGACTCACTGGACCAAGAAGATTATAGTGGAGGAGGGACACACTGTGGCACAGCTGGTGCATATACTGTAAGTGTTCTTCTCTGTCTCTCTCTTTACCTCCCCTCTTTCTCTCTCTCTCTCTCTCTCTCTCTCTCTCTCTCTCTCTGTCTGTCTGTCTGTCTGTCCTGTTTTCATATTAATTTGCTTAAAAACAGTGTTGACAGCATCCAAGTACATGTGTCACTAAACAACAGTTGCATTTCATTGTATACTTAAAGTTTGGTAAAAGTAGGTAAAAATAACAGAAAATTTTACTCAGATAAGCAAATCCAATTTTTTTACTAATTATTTAATATCAAGGCCTGCTTTTATATTTTATGTGGGTCATTTGAAACAAATTTTTTTCTGTCACCTAGGCAACTGATAGTAAGACACCACAAGGTGTATTATCCTGTGCGACACCACCTCATACAACACATGGTGAACTCACTACAGAGATTGGGCTTTACACAGAATGTGAGTACATGTGTGTGTGTGCATGTGTGAGCGTGTTTGTTTGTGTGTGTGCATGTGTTTGCATGTGTGTGTGTGTGTGTGTGTGTGTGTGTGTGTGTGTGTGTGTGTGTGTGTGTGTGTGTGTGTGGTCAACTCTACAGAGACTGCCTTTACTCAGAATGTAAGTACGTGTGTGTGTGCGTGCGTGCGTGCGTGCACGTGTGTGTGTGTGCACGTGCATATACATGTTTGCGTGCATACATATCTTTACTAATAGCATTTAGAGCAATATTAAACCAGTTGTTTCTAATAAAGAATAACAACCTGTAACTGTTACCATATGATGCCTATAATATTTGGATTAACGTGAAGCATTTAGTAAAGCCCTGTTCCTCTCCCCTCCAGGCCACTCTAGAGCACAGAAAGCTGGCAGTGGACTTGGCCGAGGTCATTATTAAGTGGGAGGTCCAGAGGATTAAAGATGACTCGGAGCAGTCTACAGACGCAGCTGTGAGTTAATCTCTCTCTGTAACTCTCTTTCTCTCTCTCTGCCCCCTCTCTTTTTAACTCTTAAAAGTCTTTATCCTCACATATTCAACAAACATTTCAGAAAATTTTAATGTGGATCAACACCATATTGTCCACACTTCATCATTGCCTCCCTTGACATAACTAGATCACATTTTCCCCATTGAAAAATTTAGCCTTAAAAGTTTTCTTTTTTTTTTTTTATTAATGAAGACATACGAATGTAGCTGTCAAGGGGAAAATTTGGCTATTTTTTTGCATCAGACCGCCGGCAGACGTCACCTAGTATGCCCTCTTACATCATGAAAGTTATTAAAAAATGAGTACTAATCTCACATGAATCAAGATATTTAGAATAAAATTGACTGTTTTTTCCCCCCAGGCCACAGGCACAGATGTCACCCAGGCTGCCCTCTCCGCCAACCTCCCCGTGAAGAGGACTGCCTCCGTTAGTTCCGTAGACTCCCCCCAGGAGGCCAAGAGAACCCGTAACGTGTCAGGAGCCGTAAGTGACCCCAGCAAGGTTAATATACACTAGATGTGCTGTGGTTTTCTTGTTTGTTTGTCTTTGAACAACTGTTTTGTTCTGCTTTAATTGAAACGTTTATTAGTTAACGCGTGTTAAGTATACATTTATAAGTACAATTATTTTACATATACTTGTTAAGTCATGTTTATGTGAAAATTGCTTACATAAAAAAATCCACTGTATTACCATCTATCTTGTTTAGACAGCACTGAATCTTTTTTTATTATAATATGTTTGTTTTAAATGTTATTATTATATTTTTGTGAGATTGTTAAATATTTGTTGACATGTTGATAATTTAAGTAGTAGACTTATCTGAATAACAGACTAAAATCTGTACATGATCTTTGAATGGGCTCTTCAAATGGAGTGAAATATATATTAGGAATATTATTTACGTAATATATTATTCCTTTGATTATGTTCATCCAAAATTACATATTGCTTATCATGTTTCAGAGTACCAAGAGTCAGACTGATGTTAGCAAACCTATTGACCAGCAGTACTGTGACGCTGTGGTCAACTTTCTGCTCAGAATTGCCTGCCAGGTATGTAATTATCTCTCTCTCCCTCTCTCTTTCAACTACATGTATGTAGTATTCATTGAAGACATTTACCCCTCCCCCTCTCACATCCTATGCATACCGCTATCTCGCCTGTTTACTACAATATCCTGTACAGACCATCTCTCTCTCTCTCTCTCTCTCTCTCTCTCTCATTGTCATTTCCTTTCTCTCCCCCTTTCTCTCTCTCTCTCTCTCTCATTTCTTATTCTTCTGTTCATGTCCAGTAATACAAAACTCAAACTACTTCTTAAGGTCAATGAACAAGCTACCACAGTTGGGTCACCAGGAGAACTGTTGTCACGGCGATGTGTGAACTTACTGAAGATGGCGCTGCGACCCGATGTCTGGCCACAGACAGAACTGAAGCTGGTGTGGTTTGACAAGTTGTTGATGACAGTGGAGACCCATCAGCCAAACTTTCCTAATATCTGTACTGCTCTGGAATTGCTGCACTTCTTACTGACCATACTGGTGAGATGTTCACTTAAATATTCATGACATATTTAAAGATGGCGGTAGAATTAATAAAATTAATATTTGTTCACCTGGAGCTATTGGAATATTTGTTTACTGTAATAGTGTTTTTTCCTGAAACAGTGGAGACTTTTTGACATTTGTACTAATTTTTTAAAAAAGAAATCTTGGTTCATCTCAGACATTTTCTTAGTAATAAGGTTTGGACATGGCAATATCTTTTTATTTCAAAATACTGGTACTTAATAAGAAAAAAATGAAAAAAAAAAAGAAAGAAATTGGCTCATTTTGAATAATCAGTTTTGTATTCCATCAAATAAAAAAGCGTTTCTGAAGAAAATAAAAAGTTTGTTATTTAAACACTTTTATGGTTCCAAATAACAGTTTTCAGTTTTCTTTAAGTATTTCTTCAGAACTCTTTTGTGGTATATTTTCAGAGGAAAGAAATGATCCTTGCAAGTTTTAAGCCTCTCCAACGAGGCATAGCTGCCTGCATGAACTGTCCGAACTCCAAAGTGATTCGCTCGGTTCACAGCCTCCTTTCTCGGCTCATGAGCATCTTTCCTACCGAACCAGCGACCTCAAATGTGGCCTCCAAGTATGAAGAGCTAGAGTGTCTGTATGCCTGTGTCAGCAAGGTGGTCTATGAAGGACTCACCAACTATGAAAAGTATGTGGTTATTTGTTCACATTCCATCATACTTAAATGTATGGAATATTCTGATAGAGTATCAGTGATATGTTTGAAATAGGGTCAGATTTTAAAAAATGCATTATTTAACCTGGGCCAGTTCCACTTTGGGGTTTGGACATTGGCATCGTCAACCGTCATATTTGTTGGATGGAATTTGTAATTTGGAACTTCACATATCATTGACAGAGACATGATATATATGCAAAAATTTATATCAAGCTAGACTAAAAACATGTTGATAAAAAATGAAAAATTAAAAGCTGTCTTATGATATGTTTTTATTACTGATTAAGATTAGGTTCTTCAGTGTTGTAATTTTGTCAAAATATTTTGTTATTGGTGATGAATTAAAAAGGTCTTCTCATACCCAGACACCCCCATATTTTTCAGATCAACAAGTGGCTCCCCCTCTCAGCTGTTTGGCACACTAATGATCTTGAAGGCAGCCTGCATCCACAACCCCCAGTATATAGACAGGCTGATCACTTCCTTCATGAGAGTGCTGCAGAGGATGGCCAGGGAGCATCTGACTCCCTCTGCACCTGAAACCAGCCCAGGTAGGCAGCCAGGATGACTAGATTCCGAGTTCATAAATTTACTTCTTAAGTGTCATTTGATAGCACCATTGAGTTACAACTCAAAGTTCAAAAAGACCCCATCTCACCCTTATCAACAGATGATGATAAGGTATGGTTTTAAAAAAGTATGATTTTAATGTATGTAGTATGATATTATTGAAGATCCAATAAAGTTTATTTACCCACAGATATATGTAGTTCATTTTAAACTGCAAATACTGGTGCAGAAAGTTGCATATTTTGTAAGATACAGGTTCAGTGTAGTTACAATGTATGTGTATTACATATCACATATCCCTGACCAAATTAAGGTTTTATTTTATTAAACAGTGGCCAGTGAACTCCTCATCCTCAGCTTGGATCTTGTGAAGAACAGAGTAGGAGTGATGAGTATGGAGATGCGGAAGGGATTCATCGGGACAATCCTTGTCGGACTCATTGAAAAAACACCCGATGTCAAGGTCATGAAGGCCATCACTAAAATGGTGGAAGACTGGGTCAAGACCAAGGTAAATGTATGTTTGCTTTTGATTGGCTATTTTAGACGTGTTACCCTTTCTTATACTCTCCTTGATTGGTTAAGTGTTTTAGTACAGAATTTCAGTTTTGCATGTGGTTTTGTTTTTGCATTAGTTATCTGAGGATGTGCCTACCTTGAGTTTTAAGTAGAATGATAACATGTTGATTTGTTTTTGTACACTAGCTAAAAAGTCCTTGTTTATGTTTGGAGCTTATGTTATCTGTCTTTGTAGGTTTTTCTGTGTTTTTTTTTTGATGAGATTTAAGTTTGAAGTTAGATGCATGTTTAAACAGTTTAGTTTACTGAACTTTTTTTGCATGTGTTTTGTCACTGAATTTGTTTGAATATGCATGATTTTATTATGCATGAAAAGATTGTCAACTCAGACACTTTTCAGAACTTTAAATTAAGACAGTTGATCTTTAGATTGAATCATTAGAGTTATTACACAACACAAAGTGACAAGTTTTAGCTACCTTAAATTTTTTTATGTGAAAAGATGCCAGTCATTTTTTGTTTATAGAGCCTGTTTATAGAGTCATATTGCATTCATGGACAAGGAGCCCCTGATGTCAATTGATTTTTAGGTTTATATCATTTTATATTTTATTTTATTACTATTTTATTACTAGACACAGGTTGCAATAAACCAAGGACCCACACTGAGAGAGAAAGCCATCTTGCTGGTGAAACTGATGCAGCATGTGGAGAAAAGATTCCCAGATGAAGCTGAACTTAATGCTCAGTTTCTGGAACTAGTCAATTACATTTACAGGTAAATTTCAGGGGAACTAGTCAGGAAATATGCAGGAAGTAATTCAGAAACATACGAAGAAGTGAAATAAAACTTCTGTGGCATAAATGAAGTGAATTAAAGTAACATGTCGTCGGATGTCTTTTTTTGACAGATATTAATATTCTCAACATATAAATTTCATTCACAATATCATAGTTATAGTTTCAACATTTATGTGGTTGAGTGTAGTTTAACTAACAGAATTTATCATAATATCATTTTCTTTTTTCTATTTAAAGTATTTATTATTATTATTATTATTATTATTATTATTATTATTATTATAGAATATATTTAATTTATTAATATAGGGATGAATCTTTGAGCGGCAGTGAGCTTACATCTAAATTAGAGCCAGCATTCCTCTCTGGTCTTCGCTGTTCGCAACCTCTCATCAGGCAGAAGTTTGTGGAGGTATGGTATTTATTGAAGGATTTTTTTTTTTTTTTTTTTGAGAAAGCCTTATAGCATGATTATAATGTTGAGTTCAGAGCATACATTTTGGATCACTATGATGTTTCCAAACCTAAACAAACTAAGATCTATATTCAAGCCTTCCCTTCATGACCTATCTGACCCATATCTCCTCATCCATTTTGTTCTTCAAATTACAGGTGTTTGACAACAGCATGCGCAGACGTCTCTACGATCGTCTGCTGTACATCACCTGCTCTCAGAACTGGGAGGCCATGGGAGGCCATTTCTGGATAAAACAGTGCATAGAGGTAATGATATGGACAGTGGCAGATTTAGAGGGGGCCAGGGGGGTCCTTACCCCCCTTTCAATTTCAAGTCCCCACTTGTAATGAGAATCATAGTTTTAAACCATTCCAAATGGCACCGTTTGCCCTCTAAAATACCAAATTTTGGTGCCCTTCAGTGGGCCTCGAAACCCTATACCAAGTGTGTGTGTGTGTGTGTGTGTGTGTGTGTGTGTGTGTGTGTGTGAGAGAGTGAGGGGGGGGTCGACCTCGCGTCCGCGGACCCCCCCTTCAAATAATCCTGGATCTGTCCCTGTATGAACATATTTATTTATGGCATCCAACGCTATTGGCAGATACTTTTTTAGAGTGAAAAATATCAGACAGTAATAAAATGCTAATCTAGGTCCATAGCGCTACATAAATAGGTAGGGGACTTCTTTGAATAAAAATTACCTTTTTTTACTGCACAACCACCTTGTTTTTGTCGAAATTAAATATAAGAATATTTGGGAAGAAAGCACTGATCTTTTCCCTGCCCAAAGGGTGGTTCATTCAGACCCACTGGACCCCCCCCCTCCCCCATCCTATGAGCTTGTAATCATATTCCTAGAAGTAAATTTGAAAGTCATGTCACTTCTTTAAACGGCATTAATAAACTAAGTCCACCTAATATAAATATCGTCTTTTCTTTATTTTCCTATTTTTTTTTCAGCTTCTTTTGGCTGTAGCTGTAAATGGCACGTCTGTCAACTGCTCGTCACCCGTCATCTTGCTTCCTGCGGCCACCTCTGTGGTCAACCTGGCTGATAGCCATGACCGCGCAGCCTTTGTCATGTTGACCAAGATGAAGGAGGAACCCATGGATGTTGAGTCTTTGGATGCCAACAAGGAAGAGGTATATTCTTTGTGTGAATTTGTTTTGCTGAAGAAAAATGACACCAGATGGCTTCTCTGTGATGCTTTGCTTTTTATACTTGATGGTCTTAAGAATAAATTTATTGGTAATTTGAAAGTGATGCTTGGATTTTAATGGTATTAAGGATGTTATTGATTCTTTCTTTTCAGTTTAGTTTTAAAAAAAGATGTTATTCCTCTTCACAGACTTAATTTCATATTTCTTCTATGAACTCAGGACGAGATAGACATTGAGATGGCCTCAGACACCACGGAGGAGGGATCCAAGGACTCGGGTCTACATCTGCCAGTGAAGAAGGAACTACATGATCCCAAACAGAATCTACAAATGCTTCTTCAAAGACAGGCCAAGTTCCTGGAGACCTGTAGAGAGGTCAAGGTCAGTAGTTATTTTAAAAATGGGTCAAGGTCACATCAAGAGGTCAGGGTCAATGAGGATGAAGATGAAGTTTGGTGTTTCAGCACAATTGTGATGTCATACTAATTTACAGATATTAAGTGTTCATGATTGTATTATTTTTCAGTGCAGAATAGTTTCAATTGACAGTTTTCAGAAAATTAAAATGCCTGTGCTATAGCCTGTTTCTTTCACTTGAAATATTTTGGATAGCTATATCGCATTCAGCATAAATTTTGCAAAGATTAGCTTTTTCTGTGAATTCTGGGAATTTCGCATTATTTTATTCAATTCTGATAATTCCTTAGATTTATCTGCAATAAAATATGTTCAGAGGATTTTTTTAAACCTAGGCTCATCTCAAGTATGATTTTGACAAATTGATTTACACATGCTGTTTCCCTTGTCTCCAGACTGTGTCCTATCTGAATGCCCTGTCCCAGTTGTGCCACAGTTCCACCCCCCTGGCACACCAAGTCTGGCTGGACCTGTTCCCCAGAATCTGGAAAATACTCATAGACAGGCAACAACAGGTGAGTGTATTTATGGCATATATTTATATTTGTTCCCTAGAATATGGAAAATACTCATAGACAGACAACAACAGGTGAGTGTGTTCATTTCAAATGATGCACATATGCGTTATGCATGTATATGCATGCATCTCATATGCATTTGCATTATGTACACATTTGGGCCAAGACTATTTGTATAGATCTACAAACTTGGCGTTATGAGAATAATCATTTCAGGTGCATGTTTTTTTTTTTTTTTTTCACGATAACACTCAGCTCTTAATATTGAAATTTATATCTGGTATTATAAATGGTTTTGTTTATGCATAAAAGAATTGCTATGCCTTGTCTGATTTCAAGTTAAAAACTTCTCTTTACATTTAACCATTCCTGTCTTTTTTGCTGGAAATTATTTCTCTAAATGTATCATGGTTTTACTGGGTTCCCATGCCTAGATCGATCCATCTGGATCAGTCTAACTCCCTGGGGAGTCTCAATAAATTGCTATCAACTAACCTGCTTAAATGTCTATCATACCTCCCGAATCAGCTAGGGTAAAGATAATTACCCCCTAACAGCTTTACTAGGCGTGACAGACATTTAAGCCGGTTAAGTTGATAGCACTATAGTGAGACTCCCCAGGGAGATAGATCGATCCAAATATCTGTGGGAATGGTCCCTAAGTCTACAATCTATTTGTTCCAGAGTCTGGCAGGAGAGCTGGTGCCGTTCCTGTGTAGTGGGAGCCATGTGATCCAGAAGGACTGCCAGCCCAGTGCTGTCCACACCTTCCTGCAGGGACTGGCCCAGTGTGTACCTGCTGTCCCCATCAGACCATGTGTACTGAAGGTAAATATCCTCTAGAATATCATATATTATATCAGTATCCATCAGACCCTGTGTACTGAAGGTAAATATCCTCTAGAATACCATATATTATATATCAGTACCCATCAGACCCTGTGTACTGAAGGTAAATATCCCTTAGAAATACTACATATTATACCATTACCCATCAAACCCTGTGTACATAAGGTAAATATCCTCTAGAATACCACATATTTTATCACTACCCATTAGACCCTATGAGAGCAGGATTCAGAAATGAAATATTTACTAGAAAATTGTTTGAAACTCTGACTTGGTATTCGTTTGGGTCTATTTTTAGAATGACTTCAATTCCACAGCATATAGAAAAGTGTCCCACATTGTTTTGCACTTACTCCAATCTTACATCTGTTTTATCTTCCTTCTACACTCATTTCCTTCCATCTGTTCTTCATTCATCCATCCATTCTTTGTTTCAAACCCTGACCAAAAACGTTATTTATTGTACCACCAGCGTTAGCGCTGGCGGTACACATGGTTTTAGTCCCGTCCGGTCCGTTCCGCCGGCTCCGCCGGCTCCTGCGGCTCCGCCGCCATGTTACCGTTACCGCTTCTCCTCCTAGACGGTAAGGGCCCCCATACCCATCTCTTGGATTTAGGTCACCTATAATCTCAACTCGTTCCACGTAAAATTTGGGCTTTGTCGGTATTGGGGTCTAGGTGTGGCACTCATTGCAATGCACCCTTGTCCAAAAATGGCAAAATTAAATGCTAATTATCTACCCTACGGAAGGAATTATGGGAAAAATTTCTACAGACGGCTTTCCAAAAGTCATATGTGTAGATTTCAAATATGCCCTTGGATTTGACCTTTGACCTTTATTTCAAGGTCAAACGGGCAAAAATTTTCAAAAAAATGAATTTTTTT